AGGCGTTCAACTGAATGAATCTGTAAGAACTAGGAGGAATCCGGAGACTAGCCGAGGCCTGTTCGTAATATCTACTTACGCATCCACCGGCTCCAGTTTGCACGATGCGAAGAATGAATTCCATCAAAATCTGTCATGCATACTACAGAAAGCAAAAGGTTCAGACATGGCCATAACAAAGCTCAAGTAGGAAAGCTGAGCCAATAGGAAAGGCGTGTTGGAGGTAACTACGGAATCATGTACTAAGGAACCGACAGCAGTGATCGTATATTGTAATTTTGTTCTGGCAATCAGTTGTTTCCAGTAGCACTAGCTTTAAGCATAAGGAAACACACTGTCTCCGTTGGCGTCAAATACATCAAACTAATGCCGTAGGGGAGGGTGAGTGAAGGATTGCCATCTTTCTGTATTATTTATTTGGACACCGATTGCCTGCCAGTACAGGTACATGTAATTTGCGCCTTATTGGCAGTAGCAGAAAATGGGTGGTAGTAAAGCCTGGGAGTGATCGATTAATAGATAATGTCAAATGCGTACTTAGGGAGATAGCTGAGCATATTTTTACAAAGGTAACAGAAATCCTGATCCTGAGAAAGCCTGGTGTGATTTGCAGTTTGCTTTAGAATTAGTGGTAAGGACAGCGTGTAACCTACAGCCATTCGGGTGGCTCTGACTACAATGAAAAGCGAAAATAACCTAAACGTAAATTGACTAAGAGTTTTCACGAGCTGTGTAGGTGGTGAAAGCGAAAGACATGCAGAGGGCATCAGGTAATACGCAGCAACTATCAAGGCTTATTAAGAGTACTGACAAGAAGAAGACAATGGGATGGAGCCTGATAACCTCTCAAGATAGGTGGGACGCTTTGAAACATAGTTCAACTGTATCACGACAACGCTCCGGATGCCCAGTATCCAGTCCGAAAATGAATCAGATGTAGATGTCGACCCTTTAACTTTTCTCGAATTCAAGGAGGTTGTTCCAAACCTGGAACGATGCAAAGCAGTAGGACCTCATCAACAAGGGTTTAGACGAACAGGCATACTTATTAGGAGCCAACATTCACCGTATATCCTGATTTGAAGGTGCCATTCGATCCTGTGACGGTGTATGACTGGACATGCTAAGTCACCGCCTTTATTGGTCTGCTACGTTAGTCGAAGTTCAATAAAGCTATAAAGTTATACCAAGAGTTGGGACCATTTTGACTCCCGACCGATAGTCGCTATTTTGAGTTGCATATTACAATAACCCAACGAGAGATGCTGGTGAAACGCTTGTTTCCTCAAGGTCCTAACATGCCAGAAAGACTTGTTGGATAGTGAAAAGATGAAAAGCAGCTTCAGTTATATTGTAAATTTCTATGATACGTTGGAAGTTTAAGAGGGAAGTTGTACTCCTAGCTGGACGGCGTTGACACCCGTAAAGTGTTTCTTGTGGATGACCAGCAGTGCAACGCTGATGCTGACTTCCCTATGGGAAGAAGTAAATGGAAGAGATCGGTCCTAAAACTAGCGCTATCTCGCGCCAAACCAGTACTAGGGATTCTTAAAACACAAATAAAAACATCAAACTTGAAAAAAGGCCTCAAGTAAATGTCCATTGGGCTCTGATACATTCTTCAGGCAACTCAAGAAGGAATAACCTCCCAGGGTGTGGGCAGCTGCAAAGTGTCAATCGCCCTCTCATCTCACTCAACACTTAATTTCCCTGATATTACCGTCCACCTTTGAAATATTTATCTTCTAATCTTCTTTTACGTCTCAGTCAACATCCAAACATCATCTTTAATTCCTTGAAGTTATCAACAACGATCTCAGTTCATGGAAGAGAATTTTCAGGCTCCTGAAACCACCCGGTAAAGTGCACACTGGGGTTTTCGATATCTTCACCCTCCGTCTAATCGGGTTAACAAAACTCAGCAGCGAAAACTCTGGCGTTTCCAAACATGGATGTGTGCTGTTGGTCAGGTAGGCACACGAGACCCAATTAAAGTAATTTACTTACCCTCTAGGTGTAGGTATAGCACTGAGCACTGTCTACCCTCCCACTAGACGACAAACTTAAACGTCGTTGTACTTGCAAGTCAACTACCTCACTGCACAAGTGACTAGGCCTAGTCAGATAAACAGACACTTAAACAGCACTTTCAGAATCCCACAGCAACAAACAGATAACGCCGATCACCTGCTATCAATAAGCTCAGACAACCATTTACTTCTGCCAAGCACCAAATTCACACACAAAGAGAGACACTGTCTGATGATAAGGCGCTCAACGAACACAACTCAGCAGTCGACACAGACAGACCACATTGCGATCACTCACTGTTGCAAAGACTCGGTGGAAGACTGCCACTCATTCTGCAGCAAGTGCATCCATGTGTCTAAATAGACGTTGCAAAACTTTACCAACAACACCATTCTCAGGTCACATCGACTGTGAGAGCACTGACACAGTCTTCAGTGAAAAATTGGTTACAATGGTATCACAACACAACAACATCACTCTTCCAAAAGAAGCATGCAGTCACCTTCAGTCTGCTGCAAAAACATCATTCAAAACCATCCATAGCCGCCGACTCTCACACAGTCGTTTAGAAGGGCAAGTGGATTTCAGCAACTTCTTACGAACTAGTTCATGCACACGAACCCATCCTTGCACGCTCCAAACACAATGAGGAACGAGTGTAACTCAAATGTAGACAGACAATAAGTCTACAAAATGACCGAGAACAGTGGTGAACAGAGAAGGTTGAGGAAATTGAAAAGACAGTGGTGATAGCTAGCTAACAATAGACAGCTATGCAGACTCATCCAGGGAACTGGGGCGAAAACGTCAGTGGTTACTGAGACTGTAGCAGAGAAAGATCGGTCTACGATTCACTCTCGGAGTAGATGATTGGAACGATGACCAGAAAGAACACTTTGAGGAACAGTTCAACTGACCTCCAGCTACTATTCACTTGGCCTCCATTCAGTCAGATACTCAATAGAACATCGAGACAAGACCCTTAACAATGACAGAAGTAGAGAAGGTTGTAGGTAACCTAAAACGAGCAAGAGCAACTGGACCATACGACAGTACCAGAGGTACTTCAGGACGGTAGTCGCAGACCATTGGTTAGACTAACTTGAGCGTTAACTAATGTGTGGGATTCAGATATGACCCTGTCTGACTGGTCTCAATCACTGATTGTCCCATTTTTCGAGGACGGAAAAATTCTCTTGTGATAAACACAGAGGAATCTTGGAGCTGTGACTCTTTGGTCCACGAAAATGACTCTTAACCAGTGGGTCACAGGTTTCAATCCCAATCTATCTACCGAGGTTTGAAACGTCAGCTAGTATCATCAGCTGTCACACAATAGGTGTGGCTCATTGCCTAGTGCACGAATATGCACAAGGCTGATGAGTGCATCAAATTGACGAAGATCCTGTGTTCTATAATTATCAGACATCTGAATGGAGCTCAGGAACAGCAAAAGAGAAAAACTAGACAGGCTTTAGGCCTAGCCGTAGGTTTATCGACAAAATATTCACACTCCACCAAGTTCTAAAACATAAGTACACCTACCGACACTGGCTGTAATTTTCAACCTAGAGGTAGAATTCGACTTTGTCGATCGGGAGTTCTTATGGGGGTATCTCTCACTGAAATAAATCTCTCTGTTGAAAGTTCTGTACTTAAACATGCGCAGGTCTATTCGAGCGTGTGGTAGGTTATCAGGTGAGCTATGTAAATCAAATGGCGTCCATCAAGGACACTCACTGTCTTCATTCTTGTTCATTTTTATCATACACGTACAAGTCTCCATCTCATCTTAATTCATACGGATTGATTTTATCACCTGAGAATCTTTGGTGGATTCAGAGTACACAGGTGACATAGTCCTGTTAGGTGAGGACCAAGACGAAGTGCAGTTAGGGTACCTGTAGTGGCAATTTGAGAATGTTTGGAGTACGTTTACACCATCCAAATGCATACTTTTGCTCCAGGACTGGTCTTCAGCGATGCCCTCACCAAAAATAGGGCGCGAAATGGTTGAGTGCGTGGAACACTTCACCTACCTAGAAAGTCGAATCCGCTTAGGAGAGTCAGTGGCCGACGAAATCTCTGCGCAGATACAAAGGGCTCGACCGGCTTTTGCCGACTTACGCTATCTGTGGCGCCGCCACGATATCCGACTTTTTTCAAGGGTCTAGTGTACTCTGCTGCAAGTCGCTCTATGGCCGTGGAACATGGCTATTAAAGGTAGAGGACATGAGATGGCTTCTAGTATTTAACCACCGTCGCCTTTGTAGCATGGGCCGTTCCATGGTGTCGTCACGTCAGTAATGCATAACGCTCTAAGGATAGGAGGAAAGTCAGTTGATGAGGTTATGAACCTTCGTTGACTCAGGAGGTTAAAAATGTGATACCTATGCTTATTCACCGTTTGCCTCAACGTACAATGCTACGTGAAGTAGATTTAGGCTGGAGAAAGGTTAAACGTGGCCAGACTAAAACATGGCATCAGTGCGTGAAATCGTTGACTGCTGGCCTGAACCATGTAGTGAAATGCAAACTTCCTAGTTGAAGGTCCGAGTGACAACATGAACCAGAGATCGGAGAGTCTAGGTGGCATGCATACATCCACACATAATCTCTATCGTCTTGCCGAATTCAGTATTTCCCTATTCCTTCTTCCTCTTATTTCCCTACTTTTGACTGATTCTTCATCTTTCATCTTAGTGTCTCTCGTTTGATGGGATGATATGAGGTGTGACAACTTGGACCGCTATGCAGTATTGCCTGATCCTATGCTGAATGAACGGCGCTGCCGATTGCTGTCTTACTATATGGATGTGAGAAATGGTCATTTAAAGTAGATGAAATGAGGTGGGTTCAAGTGTTCGACCATCGTTGCCTTCGTACCATAGGCTTTTTCGTGATGCCACTGCATCAGTGATGTATAAGTCAGGTATACCGTTTTAGGTAGAAGAGAAAAGTCAGTTAGTGAGGATGTGAACTCTTTTTCTTCCAATACACCTTCAATATCACTTGTTTTCTACCTAGTTGTTCATTGCATGGTACTGTAAAGTGGGGCAACTTGAACTGATGAACTTGTGTGAAATTCTACGTTGGTTTTTTCCACCTGTCATATTACCTAGTGTATAAACAGTTAGCTAATAAAACAAGCTCATAACTTTTTTATTGATGATGTCATCTTACAATCAAGAATAGGTAGGCAAGCAGACCCATAGACTGAGTAGCTGTTACACATTTACATGTATATAAGAAACAAGGGGATTAAGTATACATACATTATTATTATTAGTAGTAGTAAGCATTCTGGATAATGAGAACGGGAAGGAGGTAGAGAAGCAGTAGTGTCAAAATATTACTGAGATAATAGAAAATATAAAAGACAAGACCAAGAAAGAAAATTAACGCATAATGATTCCTAATAACAGGAAAGTGTTCTCATGCCTACGGTGTGTAACTGTCTTGCCAAGAAACTGATTAACTAACTGGTTTGGTTGGCTCAGTTGCTTAGCAAATTTAATGATTATCAGCACTCTGTGGTTGTATCACTGTCTCCCTTAGCGATGGACAAATAACGCCGACGATTAAATCGAAATAGTTTGATGCATACCTTTCCTTTCTTCTAATATCAACATTTTGTCAGCTGTACACAGCATAAGTTGTAAACAAACAACAGTAGGAAGGGGAGGAGGGTAGTCAGCTAAACCAAGGCAAAGGAAAAGAAAGAGGCCAATGTTGTCATAGTCACAGCCGATTATAGTGGATGCTTGCATTGTCAATGCGTTTGCATATAATGTTAACAGGCGTGTCTGCATAGACAGGCAATAATAAAGGGTGGAACATGGTTATTTGTAACTGAGGCAACAAGAAACGAAATAAAATCATCCCTGATGACATCCAAATCAGCCTATCTACTTAAAACTAAATCTATAAAGATAACATCATAATAAATGTAGTTGGTACAAACCGAAAACAGTTTCACGTTGAATAGTGTGATCATTGAACTAACTGAATCAAGTCAAGTTGATGATGTTGTAGGAGAGACTGGATCAGATAGATTAGACAATCCCAAATGACTCAAGTAGACTGAATCTTCATTATTAGCATTATGAGTGACTAGAGGATCTCCAGCAGACGATTCACTGATTTCATTTGAAGTCTCAGCGGCCTCACCATGGTCTGATATGTTACGTGTTTGAGTTTCTACAGCTGGTGATAGATTGGGAGACACAGAATCTGTACCAGATGTTCGTAGTTGGTTATTTAAATTTGAAGAATGAGCCAAATGCGGTGGAAGTGGATCAATAACAGCTTGTTCTAAACCAGTTGTTAAATCACTAACTGATTTACTCTTTACACATTGAAAATCCACATGTCGAGATTTATTCTCTTCTTCTTCCCATGACATACGTAGAAAAGGGCATTGAACATAATTATAAATTGCTTCAGGTCTAGCACCTGGACGAAATTTAACACGATCTTTACAAGTTGGATAGCCTTCAATACCAATACGTATTTTCTTTAAACTACGTTCAAGTAAAACTTGTTTAGCTACTTCACGATTTTCAATATACTTTAAAAATCTAAACATTTGTGTACTATAGATAATATGTGAATTTAATTCATTCTCTGGCATCTGTGGCGGATAATCTGGATCCCAGTCAATTGTTTCATCGTCTGTAACAATCACAATATGACATTCACGTTCACCTAATTGTGTACACTTGACGAGTAATGAAAGGATATGTGTTTCAAGAAATTGTCCAAATATACCATGTGCACCATCATTAGATAATTCATGTAGAAATGCTCGTAAATTTTCACATCGTACAGTTTGTTGATTAAATGGAATAAGAAAGTAGTCACAAGCTTCTTTGAGTTCTTGCACTGATACACCGGGAGGACAAGACATACGACCAGTAAGATAATAATCAAGAATGGTACGAAATACCTGAGCTGAGATATTCGAATCTTGAGCAATAGGGATATCTGGTGGGTGTGTTTGAAAAGTATGATGAATTGTTGATGAAGATGATGAATAAGTTGTAAAGGTAGTAGTTTGAGATTTCCTATCAGTTGGCGGACTACTCTCCATTGATGTAGACTGATGATAATTGCTATTAGGATTATCATAAATATATCTAGTCTCGAGAAATTGTGAATTAAACATACGTCCAAGCATTGTATTAGGATGAGCTTGAAGCAGTTCAACATCAATCAAAAACCGCACACCATCCACTAGTAGACTAACACGTCGGCGTCCACTAGATGATTGCCTCGAAGTACTAAAACAAAAGAATAATATATATATATATATATATATATATATATATATATATATATATATATATATATGTACATTAACTGAGGGAACAAGGAGTAAAAAAGAAGTAAGCTGAACGCTGACGTATTTGATCACAGACTAGGAAGACTTGTGGTTTCGAATGAGAAAGCTAACGTAGACGTGAATTATTACAGCAACGAGTCAATGTTTAGTTACTCAGCTGGAATTAAATGAGAAACAGACCTCACAATCGCAACCTCTCGATTGACAACGCGTCTGGATCAGTATTTAGGCATGGATTTAAGAAAAATGCGTAGACAGATGTCAGGGTATTATAGCCCTACTCATCCTGACATTTCCTGACGTTATATACAACCTATTGTAGTCAATAAGCTAGTCAACATAAACATAGAACAAAGGATTTCTGCACAACGGTTCAAATTGTCACATCTCATATCAGTATATCAGGATCGAAGTAAAGGAGATAAAATAACCAGCTGCAGAAATTCGTAACACAAAAGGAAGAAAAGGATGCAAACATTATACTGGGTAATAATTGAAGGTGAAATGAAAATTTGAACCGCGGCCTTGTACAAGAATAGGGTGAGGACGCACCTGCATCATCTGCCATTCATTATGAACTAGATCACCTCCAGTGACGAGCCACTGATTCTAGTTAAGTACCAATCTAGAGGCTAACATTTGCTTAAACGCCGCATATAAACATTCGGAAACTCCAAGGATTGACGCCACCCCTAACCTTTTCTCCATATAATCCCACTTTAATTACCATAGTGAGTCACAGTAGACGGTCGCTAGGCATCGGGCAAGTAGAAAAATCGATGGGAAACCTGGTGGAAGATACAACAGTCCAAGTCGTCACAATACACAACAATATGCAAAAAACAAATGGATAGAAAAACCTCGCCTGGTTAACTAGTTCACTAGTTACTAGCCGGTCCTAAGCCCAGGTAAAGAGGGAAGGTTGGGGGTAGGGTTAGCAACCCAACCCCGTAAAACCAATCAAACCGCTAAAGAAACTTCAAAGCACAAGTAAAATACAAAAAATAAAAACAACCTGATTCCTCGCTGGAATCGGAGAGGCATAAGGACGCCGGTTAGTGAAAGCCTACCCTTGGGAATCCAATTGGCCGATGTGTCTTCTCTCCCTCGATGAAAGCAAAAGTAAAAGTGGGGACATGGAATGTCCGCCCTATTTTTGAACCCAGCAAGGCAGCCCAGATTGCAAAGGATATGAGAAGGTATTGCATTGAAGTGCTATGAATCTGCAGATGGAATGGAAATGGACTCTCCAAACCATCAACTAAAGAATCAATAATCTACTCCGATATTCTCACCCAGACGACAACCACGAACACAGAACACTGAGTTCTGGAGTGGCTATCGTGATGTCCCCAACACCATCGAAGGCTCTCTCTCATGCAGTGGGAACCAATCTCCTACACAATCAGGATCACTACAGCAAGGTTCAACTCAAAAGGAAGGAAAGTCACAATCATACAATACAACACTACGCACCTACAAATAATGGAGATCAAGAGAAGAAGAAGGAATTCTACAGACAACTGCAATCAACACTGGACAAGACCCCACCCCAGTTGGCGATATCAAAATTCTAATGGGCTACATGAATGCCAAAGTGTGAGGAGCAGACAGCACAGGAAGAGAACTAACCATGGGTCGAGAAGCACTCGGTGAGGTGATGAACGAGAACGGAGAATTGTTTGCAGAATTCTGTGCATTCAACGATTTGGTGATTGGAGGCTAGGCACTGTGTTCAGGCACAAGGATACACTAAAAATCAAATTGACTTCATCTCAATCTCAAGAAAGTGTAGACGCAGCCAGCCTACTTGACACAAGGTCAGGAAGAGGAACAGATGTAGGTCCACACCACTCACTGTCTACTGCAAGGAACCTACCTTGAAAATCAAGTTAAAAGCCTTCAAGGAAGTTGGTGATAGACCACAGTTCAAGTTTAACATCCAGAAACTGAATGACGAAACTACAAAAGACACTTTCGTGTCAGCCATCAAGACAAAATGGGAGATATAGAGCAATATCCCTGAAGAAACCTGTGTGGATGAACACTGGAAGTCTTTGAAAGCTATATGGAAAGAAACCTGCATAACTGGATTACGAAAGAAGAAGAAGAAGCAAGACAAGATATGGAATGGATCTCAATGAACACATGGAAGCTGATAGAGCAGGGGATGGAGGATGGTGAAGCAAAAGATGAACCAGTGCAAAGACACACAGTGAAAAGTGGAACTGAGTACAATGTATAAAACACTGGACAAAGAAGTGAAGAAGAATGCGCGGAAAGACAAAAGACACTTACCTCTACAACACACTTGCAAGTGAAGCAGAACAGGCAGCTGGCTGGTAGGAGAGAGAGACCTGACAACATTGTATCAAACAACCAGGTTACTATATATCTGGGAGGCACGAGATCAACACAGATGAAACCAATAAAAGATGATAAAGGAAATCTATTCACCAAAGAAGAGAAACAAAGGAAATAAAACGATGGGTTGACCACTTCAGAAAGCTCTTGAATCGACCACCACCATCACCAACACCTGCACTTCGTCCAGAAATACCACCGGCAGCCCAGCCACAGAACTACCAGTGAACACTAATCCTCCAACAAAAGTCGAAGTCCTGAACGCCACGCCATAAAGCTACTGAAATGTGGGAAAGCAGCAGGAACAGATGGAATCCTGTCAGAAGCACTGAGAGCAGACGCAGAGACAACAGCGGACATGCTCACACCACTACTGCAGAAGGTGTGGAAGGAAGACAAGGTAACTGACCACTGATTGGAAGAAAGGCTACCTTGTCAAACTCCCAAAGAAAGGTGACCTGTGTTTTTGCAAGAAATGTCACGGAATCATGCTCCTGTCCACCCAACGCAAGCAAAATATTAAGCCAAATCATCCTGGAGAGATTGAAGGATGCACTGGATTCAAAACTACCACCCGAACAGGCTGACTGGATTCAGGAAGTACAAATCATGTGGGGATCAAATTGCAACTCTACACATCATCATAGAATAGAGTATAGAATGGCAGTCAACTCTTCACCTTACCTCAACTTCATCGACTTTGAAAAGGTCTTCGATAGCGTCGACCGAGAAGTAATTTGGTGGGCAGCTGCTTCACCACTACGGTTTTTGTGCCACAAACCTTTATCAATCTCATTCAACAACTATATGAAGATGCCACATGCCAAGTAATTCAAAATGGGAAGCTCAGCTCACTGATGCCTTCAAAATGAAGACAGGAGTAAGACAAAGCTGTCTACTATCACCCATGATATTCCAGATTGTAGTAGACTGGATCATGCAGCAAACCGTGAGGAGCGAGAAGAGGGGATACACTGGCTGGATCGATGAAAAGACCCCAGAAGAAAATTTGAATTTCGCCGATGACTTGTATTCAACGTCGCATAAACTTGAAGATCTACAGGCGAAAACTAACAGGTTGAAAGAAGAGTTGAGGCAATGTAGGAAGACGAGAATTCAAGTGAACGTAGAGAAGACAGAGGTGATGAAGATACCCAACCAACGCCACCACCAACAACAAGCTCCAATCACCATCAACGGGAGAAAATTAAAGGAAGTAGCCTCATTCACCTATATAGGCAGCATCCTTTCAATTACAGGTGACACAGGCATAGACGAGGACGTGAAAGCCAGCCAGGATCGAAAACACAGCAGGACAGGCGTTCATTAATCTGAAACCAGTGTGGTGATCTTCTGCACTCACCACAAAGCGTGAACAAGATCCGGATTTTCAACACTAATTCAGTCAAGTCAGTGCTTCGATGTGATGGTTTAGAGACTTGGCGAGTTACGAAAGGCATTTCCAACAAACTACAGATATTCACCAACAACTGCCTACACTGGCTCGTTACTCAAGCTCAGATAAGAAGGCCAGAAAGAATAAGCAACAAGGAACTCTGGCTGGCTGGCTGTCAACGAACCAACCAAGAAGCTATCGCCCAGCAAATATGCAGAAGGAAGTGGAGATGGATTGGGCATACACTGAGAAGGCCGACTGGGGACATTACGCGGCAGGCCAGTTGCTCGAGTGGAACCCAGATGGGAAGTGACGAGTTGGGCGTCCCAGCTGAGGGTGACATGGAGGAGATCGTGTGAGGAGGAAATGAGAGCTTGTGGGTAGTCGTGGCGACAGGTTCAAAAGATTTCAGAGAACAGAGTGTACTGGAGACGTGCTACTGAAGCCCTATATGCCATTAGGAATCCAAGGGATAAATAATAGTAATAATAATAATATAAGTGGATAGAAAAAGTGATATCAATGTAGATCTAGGAGCATGTGAGGAGAGCGAATAAATGTCCAAACTATTGGGGATGCCGAAGAGTGAACAAATCTGCCCTATTGCGATAGATTTTCAGCCATATCACCAAAGGTCTCTAACCATTGACGCCTATTATCTTAAGGATCCCAGCCGCGTACTTTTTATCTTCCCATACAGCTAAGAACAATAGTCAACAACTTCATGGACTGCTGCCGTCATGCTCTGACCACACTCAGCCTTTTTCCATTCCAGTCCTACTTTGGTTAACATTGCACATCTATGTAGGCGGTGACTCAGCATGTGCGACACATGTCCAAGACACCTCAGTCAGTGGACGTTCACAACCGTATGGACTAAACTGCTTTAATCTAACCTTGCTATTGTTTACACAGTGGTTTCACCGCACTCAAGCAGTACTACGAAGACATTTGTAGTAAAAAACCTGTAGTCTCTTTACATACTGTTGTTTCAACGACTGTGTCTCACAGTTGTATAGTAGGACGAAGAAGCCTGCAGAACAGCATACTCGTCCTTTAAACGTGGCTTAACCTGGTAGAAGTTTATGTATTAACCTATGAGCCACACTAGTTGTGTGAGAGCTTACGATACTACTCGGATGTCCAGGCCGAAGTAGGCGGGGTAAGATTTGAAACCAGGACCCACTATTTTAAAGTTGAGTGTTTAATCCAATGAGCCACAATACAACTGTCCCTTAGTCTGTAATTGAATATCTCGACGACGCCAAGGATGAAATAGGCTGGTTGAATGGATGTTTTGTATTCGGACTGAGATTTAGTCAGCAACTAGTTCATTTGGGTTGATACAACTGCCCAAATAAGTTACATGGTCAGTGAGTTCAAACACTTCACTCTCTATCCTAAAACTAGGAGTTGGTGCAGGCCAAACCTAAATCATCGTCTTACATCTGACAGGTGCGAAATGTATGGCAAACACTCAAATTTTCGCTCGAGACGTTCAGAAGAGTATGAGTTTTGCCAGCCTGTTCGCCTAATACGATTACTTTGTCTGATCTTATCATTTTGATTTCTTTATTTTTCTTTTTGTGAACTCACCAATATGTTGGTGCGAAGTGTGACAATTGAAATCTATGTGCGATTATTCCAGTTTCTATGTTGCTTCTGTTCGTCTCTGGAACATCAAGGGATTGACTGTGCATTCAACGATTTAAGCCGAACATGATTATCCGCCATCATAATTTGAAGCCAGATGTTGAGGTAAACCGCAGCGTCATTTTTTACTTATCTGGATTTCGCATCTGTTGTCATTCACCACTGAGATGCATCTGCAACCTGCAGGAGATTTCAGTTTCTCCTGAATGAGATTCCCACCTGTGTAACAGTGCTGAAATCAAAAGTCTTGTCAATAGGCTATTTGAACCATGGTTGATTTCCCGAGGGATAAGATTATGCACACGAACTGATGACCAGGTGGTGATCAGCAGTGTGACTAGCAAGTTCTTGGTACTGATAGAAGTCTGTTAATTAAGTTTGGAATATAACCATCAAGATTTTATATCTTTGGCCAGTATTACTGTAAGTGAATACTGCTCTGTATAGAGTCAGATCTGTAAAGTATTCATTTTTTCCTGGTTGGGGTTTTTGAGATGTCAAAAATCAAGGCTTGGAGACACTTGATGACATTGGCTAATATGGTACTCATTATCGCCTTTGAATTCCTGAACATTTAAATCAACCTTTATGCATTTATGATCTTTTTAATTGAACACTGATGTTCATTCTAATAAGATTCTCTTTCCAACTACTTCCTCTTTGTGCGTTGCTGACGTCTGGCTCGTTGAACCAATGAACTTATGTGCATGGTTTTACGTTTCTTCTTCAGTCTTGTGTACTACTTGAAGCGTGTAAGCGGTTGGCACTTCCCGGCTACCCACACTGTGGAAGGCTTTTTCTTCCTAAGGTACCTGGGAAAGAGAAAAGCTTTGTGTGACCGAAGATCCCAAGGGACACCTTGCCGATCACACAACCTACTTGTTGAGGCTTGTGACGATAGTGGAAGTGAGAGTGGGAAAAGTACATGTGTATGTTTAAATAGTTGACGTTTTCAAATACATATTTAAAGTCAGTAATTTTAATGAGGGAAAGTACTAACAGAACCAAAACGTCTATAGTAATTATAAACAGACACTTCCCCGCTTTACAATCTACACATGATTACTGATGGGAACTAATATTTATAGATAAACTTCGGATACGAGTCACTAAGTGGTTATCTATTTATATCTGTAATATAATGAATGTATATAAAATACTCACTCGATAGGAGACGCCAGATTGACTTCACAAAAGGGGAGAGCTGACAACGAATAACGCCTATGCTCCACATTTGTAGGTTGTAACAGATTCTGTTGTTGTTGGGTTACATAATTGTCAAGTGTATGATGACCACCATTACTACCACGGGGATAAAATAACTTCGTTTGCGGTGGTGATGATGATAGCATGAAATCAAAACCAGAATCGTCATAGAATTCTCTACCTGAACCTAAGGAATTCGTAACACCATTATGCCCATGAAATGATCCATAATCTGAATGATAATGAAGTTTTACTGAGCTAGAACACGATTCTGGTGGTGAATCACAATAGATTAGTGATTGTAATTGACTTGTATGACGTTGTTGCTGTTGACTATGCTTATGAATCAGTGAACAATTTGATGATTGATGAAACTGATCAGAAGTAGAACCATGATTACTATGACTGTTATTTGAGCAAAAATGTTGGTTTCCATTGCCATTGTACAGTGAACCTGTGATAGATGAGCATCCATGATGAGTGGCATTTATAGCTGTTGTTCCAGAAGATAATGTCTGGAAACAACAAGTAGCTGATGAACGCCTTCCTAATTGTATTCTTTCTACTTGGGATGATGAACATGTTAAGTTATGATTACTATTGTTATTATTACCATTATTATGATATGGAAATGTGCATGGAATGTTAGCTGTTTGCATAAGTGAATCTGATCGAGTACAGCATGATGCGCTTGCCACAGAGTTGATTGGACGTAATATATGTCTATTAGAATTTATTGTCTTAACGGAAGAGATAAGATTATTAGAAATAAGAGGATTTATATTACCATCAGTTATAATACTACCACTTCGCCTAGTTTCACTATTGCTGTTCATATCGTTTGATGTTGTTTCTATAATTTCATTGCCTAGAGTATTTGTAACAGATGCTTGATAATTTAAAGATTGCATAGCAATTGGCAAAGATGATACAACTTCTGATGAAGATGATGAAGGTGTTAATGTTTCAGTTGTTACTGAACTGGGATTTGATAAATGAACTTTTCCTACTGTTTCATCAGATAGATGATTACTTCGTATATTTGTATTGTGTACAGCATTATCAAATGAGATCCAATTGACACCAATTAAATCATTAGGCACATCCATCAATGAATATATACACCTAAAATCACTTCCTCCACAGGTAGTAGTAGCAGCAGCAGCAGTAGTAGTAGTATGTTGTGCACAACAATAATGACGATTACTGCAAAATGAACTTCTATTACTAAGCGACTGTGATGAATCCAAAGGTATCGGACTAAGTGGATGAGTTAATATTTCATTATCATTTATGTAATGATGATTTTGGCAAACATTATGCGATAAAACAGAAGTAAATGGACGATCAATAGCGATTTGTCTTTGTAAATTCTGTGTAGTCACTGGAATAGAATTATCTAAAATTCGAACACGATTTCGTTTATGACGTGTTGTTAGGTTACTTCGTGCATCACTTAATCTAGGCTTTGTATTAGTATTAGCCCAATCTGAAACATTATGAAAATTTGGAGATACATTTCTTGAATGATGTACTTCAAACTTTCTATCAGGTTGGTCATCAACAATTGATAAATGATCTATCGTATCTGTTCCAGTACTATTTTTTCTATGCTGAAGTCGATTACGCCTACGTTTTTTATCACGTTTATTATTAGTATCATTATTAGAAGTATTATGATTAAGTTTAACAGATGATGATGAACACGATGCACCGTATCCGCTTTCACCATCTACTTCAATTGTTTGCTGATGCTGACGTTGACATTTCCCAGTCAATAAATTAGTTTGGCAATTATGATCGTGAACATGAAAATCTGCATCTTCATCATCATCGTCGTATTCTCCGTCAACATTACTATCTTCTTCAACATGATCTACTTCTTCGTCGTCGTCTTCTTCAACATCCTCTTCTTCATCTGCTTCCTGTTCATTATCATTTTCATCAGACAAATAACCAGGTGAGAAATGCGATGAAGCTGTCGAAGTATTTGTCGCTGACCTTAGGAGGCTATGATGGTGATGATGTCGTAGTGCAGCAACAACGGCTTGAGCTAAAGGTGGTGCAGGAGAGTTGGACGGACTAACTATATCATCGGTGTTTGGCAAGTCGTTGACATTATTACAAGTATTCATTAGACAGTGTATTATATTCTACAAAAAGAGGATAGACAGCACAGAGGTTATGTATAAATATTGTCGGAGAGTGAAAACACCATCAATACAAAATTCATTTGAAACGTCAACATGATACTTGGTATCAACCTTTTTCGTTTACCACCCCCTTATCAACAAACATACCCGTCATTTCCAAACATAACAAAGTGTAACCAGGAAAATTCACTTCAAATATCATCTCCTCTCCACTATTTTATCACACAACAGGTTGGTTGCAACTGCCAGAAACAACATCTAAAATGCTGTATACAGAAAAGTTGTCTTTCTCAATTCACAACTTGAATAAAGGTTTCTATGGAATCACCAGTTGATTTATAGTTAAGTAATTATATCAAACACTATTTTAAATAGTGTAAATGTGATTCGCCTTCGTTTATAACTAAAAAAGATCTGTAGTGGAAATCGAATGATAACTGATAACAGGTAGTCTGTTTCAAATACTACATATGTGCATACTAGGCAGTGAGTTGCATATTGTGTAAGAACTGGGCTACTATTTGAATTTCTGAATCAGAGGTTTGAATCAATCCATCCAGGGGTTGAAATCTAATTATTCATAACTCTACAAAACTTATTATGCTTATTTAAAAGATGTTCTGTATAATGAGGAGCATGGAGACTTCAGAAAGTCCAAGGATATAGCTAGTTTCTAGATAATATAACTAAAGTCCTAACCAATAGCTGCTAGACTGACGTACTGATCGGACTCGCATATTACAATGATCCAATAAGCTATCATTGGGGAACGATTGCTCCGTCAAGGTACTATCGTACCAGAAAGGCCTGTTGGATAGTGGTTAGACAAAAAGAACAGTTGCCATAATAGTGTAGAACTTTACGCTATGATACGGGGTACAAGGGCGAAGCCGTATTAATAGCTGGATAAGGGGGGAGGGCAGCAGTAAGGCATTTCCCCTGGATGACTAGCTTAGTCACGCTGATGCTACCTTCCCTATGAGAAGAGGTAATGAGAAAAGGTCGGTCCTAAAATTAGCACACACCCCCACGGCATACCAGTTCTAGCAATGTGGGTTCATAGTCGGATTCTTAAAAAACTAATTCAAATATCAAACTTGAAAAAAAGCTATTTGCGACCGGCCTCAAGCAGGTGTCCCTTGAGCTTTGTAGTCAGGCACTGGCCCTTCTTCAGGTACCTCAAGAAGCAATAGGCCTTCAACGGTGTGGAGACTCTGGTAGTGTCAACCGCCCTCATATATCTCTTAGTAGTCAGTTTCCTTCAGATCACGTTCCAAATCCTTACCTTATAATCTTTCAGTCAATAATCCTGCATCAGCTTTAACTCCTTCCAGCTCTACGGCCTTTAATAACGATCTCAGTTCATGCAACAGTATCCCTGGGCTCCTAGAACCACACTTCTCCTTATATATTGGAGCTTCCAATGTCCACACCACCGTCAAATCCGTCAGCAAGGTTCACCAGCGAAAACTCTAACTACTTGGGCCATATATGTGAGTCGTGCTCGTGGGACAGGCTTATATGACCAAAGTGCGCCTGCTTAATGTGGTGAATCCGCAAAATGCACCGTTTGCGTTTTGAAAGATTTGATGGCTGATCGTCACGAACTTGCAGGTGTAGGTATATCACTAAGTGTTAAGACAGAAACTGAACTGCATGGTGAAGACTAAAAAGAATACTGAAACATACCGTTTTTTCTTTGTAATCTCTCCTTACGCCCCACAATTCTTGTGAAGTGAAGGATGAGTTGTGCGAAAAACCGTCTACCCTCCCACTAGACGACAAACTTAAACGTCGTTGTACTTGCAAGTCAACTACCTCACTGCACAAGTGACTAGGCCTAGTCAGATAAACAGACACTTAAACAGCACTTTCAGAATCCCACAGCAACAAACAGATAACGCCGATCACCTGCTATCAATAAGCTCAGACAACCATTTACTTCTGCCAAGCACCAAATTCACACACAAAGAGAGACACTGTCTGATGATAAGGCGCTCAACGAACACAACTCAGCAGTCGACACAGACAGACCACATTGCGATCACTCACTGTTGCAAAGACTCGGTGGAAGACTGCCACTCATTCTGCAGCAAGTGCATCCATGTGTCTAAATAGACGTTGCAAAACTTTACCAACAACACCATTCTCAGGTCACATCGACTGTGAGAGCACTGACACAGTCTTCAGTGAAAAATTGGTTACAATGGTATCACAACACAACAACATCACTCTTCCAAAAGAAGCATGCAGTCACCTTCAGTCTGCTGCAAAAACATCATTCAAAACCATCCATAGCCGCCGACTCTCACACAGTCGTTTAGAAGGGCAAGTGGATTTCAGCAACTTCTTACGAACTAGTTCATGCACACGAACCCATCCTTGCACGCTCCAAACACAATGAGGAACGAGTGTAACTCAAATGTAGACAGACAATAAGTCTACAAAATGACCGAGAACAGTGGTGAACAGAGAAGGTTGAGGAAATTGAAAAGACAGTGGTGATAGCTAGCTAACAATAGACAGCTATGCAGACTCATCCAGGGAACTGGGGCGAAAACGTCAGTGGTTACTGAGACTGTAGCAGAGAAAGATCGGTCTACGATTCACTCTCGGAGTAGATGATTGGAACGATGACCAGAAAGAACACTTTGAGGAACAGTTCAACTGACCTCCAGCTACTATTCACTTGGCCTCCATTCAGTCAGATACTCAATAGAACATCGAGACAAGACCCTTAACAATGACAGAAGTAGAGAAGGTTGTAGGTAACCTAAAACGAGCAAGAGCAACTGGACCATACGACAGTACCAGAGGTACTTCAGGACGGTAGTCGCAGACCATTGGTTAGACTAACTTGAGCGTTAACTAATGTGTGGGATTCAGATATGACCCTGTCTGACTGGTCTCAATCACTGATTGTCCCATTTTTCGAGGACGGAAAAATTCTCTTGTGATAAACACAGGGAAAAAGCCTGACGTAGTGTCCAAGATGCTAGGTTTTGTAATCACTAGACGTCTGAGTGGAGCTTGTGAACGAAAAAAGCGAAAAAACTAGGCAGACTTCAAACCAGATCATGAGTGTATCAACCAGATATCCACACTCCTTTAGGTTCTAAAACACAGACACACTTACTGACGCCAACAATGGTTGTATTCATCGATCTGGAGGCGGCATTCGGCTCCGCCAATCGAAAAGTCTTGTGGCAGTGTCTTTCATTGGAGAGGGCACCACGTGTATACGTCCCTCTGCTGAAAGCTTTGGAGTTAGGTATCTGTGGGTGTGTTAGGAACTACGGTGGGTTATTAGGTTAGTTGTGTTGGTCGGGTGGTGATCGTCAAGGCCCTCCTCTCGTCGTCTGAATTCTAAGGGATTGATCTCATTACAAGAAACTCTATAGTAGATCCAGAGTACACAGGTGACATAGTCCTGTTAGGTGATGACCAAGACGAAGTGCAGTTAGGGTACATGTAGTGGCAATTTGGGAATGTTTGGAGTGCGTTTACACCATCCAAATGCAAACTGTTGCTCCAGGACTGGTCTTTAGCGATGCCTTGACCAACACTAGAAACGAAATGACCGACTGGCTTGAACACTTCATTTACTTGGGAAGTCGGATCAACCCTGGTGCTTTAATCAGTGGCTGATGAAATCTCTGCACACATATAAAAGGTCAGTTCGGCTTTTGCTAACCTACATTTGTGGTGCTGACATGACATCCAATTGTTTTATAATGACTGAGTATACTGTACTGCAGTTTGCTCTGTCCCGCTATGTGAGTGTGAAACAAGGCCATTAAAGGGAGATACGATGAGGCTTCATGAGTAAGTTGGTTGGAGGTGATCAGCACCACCACCTAGATTTGGTGGTTGTTGGCACCTATCGACCGATAAAATTCGGTCAGCACTCAGGGCTAGACGACATGAAATTGGTTGCCATCCAATGGCCAATTCATGTAAGACTTCATGTGTTCGACCATCGTGGTCTTTGTAGCTAAGTTAGTTGGTGAGGTTGTGGAACTTCATCGACTAAGATGTGATACGAATGCTTAATCACCGCCTGCCTAGTCGGAAAACGCTACCTGAGGTAGGTTCAGGCTGGGAAAAGGTTAGGAGCGGACAGACTGAAACATAGCATCAGTGCAAGAGGTCTTTGACTGCTGGTCCATATATTATCTTGATCTTAGTCGTCATACTGCATTCAGTATTTTCTCATTCCGCTTTCCTGTCTTTACCTGTTTTTGACCGATTCTTCTTTATTTCTTTGTGTTTTGTCTTATTCCTTTGTCACCGGTGTTGATATGAGGTGAGGTAACAGATAGGTAGACAAAATCAACGTCGAACCTTGCAAACAAGTGCATCGGTTCAGGTTGACATAATACAGATCAGTATGCAAACGTAGACAGGAAAACCTGATATCAAAGTAGACAAAGGTGTACGAGAGGAAAGGGAACCTAAAAATCAAAGTTGGTCAAAACAATTAGGCTTTAGAAAACGTCAAAGAGTGAATAGATCTGAGCTACTGTAACCGGTTTTCAGTCATATCACTAAGAGCCCCCAGCCACTGATTCCTATCATCTCAGGGACTCCATATCGACTGATCCCAAAGTCTTAGTCTGGCCCCTCTGAATCCCCTTCTAACCTAATCTGATTTTCCCCGGCATTAAACATCAGTGTAAGCGGTGGCTCGGTATGCGTAGCACGCATTAATACCAAGTCGATGATGTTGTGAACCTTTATCGACTGACCTGGCTTTCTTGCCTAGTACCCTCTGCCTAACCTCAACATTGCTCACACGGTGATTCCACCAAACGTGAGCAATGCCACGAAGACGCCTATGTAGCTACTTTATATCTTTCACTCTTAACGGGCATGTCTTACAGCTGTATAACAGGGCAGAAGGGACTGCAGCACACTATACTCAGCCTCTGATACATAGTCAGATATCTCACCAGTCGGTGCCACAGATGACACAGGTTGGCAAGTGCCAAACGGGGATTCTGTATCCGAACTGGGAAAACGTTAGCAACTAGCCCATTCGAGGTGGTGCAACTTCCCATGTAAGTGGAGTGGTCGATGCATTCCACTACTTCACTCCCCATTATCAAACTAAGAGTGGTCGGAAACCAATCCTGCGGCATCATCTTACACTTAACAGGTGAGAAACGCATACCAAACATGCTCAGATTTCTGCTCTACGCGTTTAGAAGAACCTGCATTTTGTGAGCGTCTTCACTTAGCAGGACAATATCGTCTGCGTACTCCAAACCAGTCAGATGCCAATCCTTGTGAAGTCAGACGTACCTAAGACTATGTTCATTAGTGCATCTATAAGGAAAATAAACAGGAATAGTGACACTGGGCAACCCTGGCGGACACCACTGGTTATCATCAATTCATATGACAACCCTCTATAAGCCCTTACACGACTGCATGAGTTCGAGTAGAGAGAATTGATAAGCATTATTATTCTTGGAGGGTACTCCTTTCACAGTCAGAAGTTACGCAGTACTGGGTGGTCCAGCGTTAATACCGATGATAAATCTAAAGTGAAGTAATTATTTGATTAGATTGTTAAGTGATCTATTTGGCTGATCGACGAACCGTTGTAATGGTAATTACAATGTTATTGAAGTGACAAAAATAGGAAGTATAACTCATTCACCGAATACATGTTTCTACATTAACACAATGGTAAAAATAGTGTAACTCAACCCCGTACATGTTTTAGGTACCAGATCATGAACCATACATTGTGTGAGGGTTTATTATGCTATCCAGTTACTCAAGTTGAAATAGGTGAAGTGGGGTGTGAACCAGAGACTGACACCTTGAAAGTCGTTTTCTGAAGTCAATTAGCCCCTACTCCATGTTTGCATACTAGGCTATTAGCCACACATTCGCAAAAATAACAGATGAACTCCATTAAATAAAAAACTTACATCATTCACGGCTTTGAAAGCATCAGCTGAAGGAGGTGGGCTGCGAGATTGACTTCCACGTTTGTCCAAAAACTCCATATGTGAATGCCTACGTCTTGCTCCCAAAGCACTTGAAGATACATAAGTTGTAGTAGATGGTGGAGGGAAGCTACTTTGTTTCGATTTGGAATAAACCATCTTGTTGATAGTATTCGAAACCGTATCATTGGCAGATGTTATAGCTGACTCACAACATGAAGAAACTTCACTAACTGTTGGTTGGAGCGACGCAGAACTATTAAGTTTTAGATTATTGGTAGGTGCAGGTCTACAGTCAGCTGAGCTAGATGGTCGTAGAACTAAGCATGGTTTAACAGCAGCACGATAGTGAGTCGGATCGGACTCTTGGTGGCATGTTGTGTTAAACGGTCCTGGGACGCTACCAGCGCTGTGACTACGGCCTCGACCGGAAATGGACTGATCAGACCTGGTAAGTGAATGGTAACATACAATTATCTTCCAGTGTTGATGCATTAATAAGCACTGGATTAATATAATATTTCTTAGTTTTGCACATAACAATATAGATAGAAATATAGATTACAATTTTTTTGAAACAAACTGTATTACCCATCTGCTGGGAAACGTCGGTCATTTTGTTCTTTAAGGGGATGGGCAACAAATTCACTACAACAATCCGCAGAACAACAAGAATGTGTTATATCATGAGTGAATAAATCAGATGACTGGTCTTTTGCAGATTTATCGATACCGATTACTACTACACAAAGCCATGGACAGAAATTTAGTTCTCCAAAGAGCGTTTCTACGTTATTTGCCCGGAATCTTACATAACCTAATTAAGTCAGTTATAGCGCTTGGTGATGTAAGATATCACGGACTAGCAAAGCACAAACCTGACCAAAAACAATTGGTTTGTATAAGTTACTCATGATCAATCTAGTATCGAAAAGTAAATATCAGTGGAAAAGTTTGGAACTATTATATCCTGATGCATTGTGGAACCACTATTCACGTAATATGCAAGTTAAACCTGGTTCCTTAAGTAAGTTGATGAGGCCGCAAACCCTTATCGACATATACAAAGTGCAGAAAATTAGCTTCATGTACAAGTTAACCGCTTAGTATTGTTGCACAATCTAGGTGGTTCCTATAACATCCATATCATGTGATTTGGAGCATTTTTATGTATAGAGCTGTAGAATTCTCACAATGTGTCTTTCATAACTACTATTTTTCTAACTTAATACAATAACAGCAATAATATGCTACACGAAATAACGCTGTTATGATACACGGAAAATAGATGAGGAATATGAAATCTAAAACAACTAGTCCGTCTTATGAATATAGATAGTGTAATTAAAAGATTAGATTTTCCGTTCGGGTCCCCATGACAACCGAAATCAGTAATCGGGGACTCTAGGTGATGGTTTAAGATAGATCTGTGGCACAGACGTAGTCACACATTGGCTTCATCTTAGTTGCCATAACGAACTTCATTACTGTTTCATTTTTCTATCACAACTTCTTGCCAGTTTTGGCTAATTTCTTCCTTAATGCTCTCACATCTCGGTGTCTTTTACATAGGTGTATTAGTATGAGGGGTGGTAGCTTGGACCGTTACTCAGTGGTACTAGTTCCCACGTTTATGCTGACTAACAAGCCTTGATTTTGAGGCAGGTACATAATAATGCTTGACACTATTGAGTCCTAGGGTCTTTTGTAACCAACCAAACAGGCTACGAACTTAACTGATGAAGGACAAACTAGCACAGCCACTTCTGCAGCACCACGTCAAAAGGGCTACTACCCACGTCAACTTCTCCAAACAAATTAAAACAGCAGAAACTAATTGGTATGCAAACTAATGGTCAGTATCAGCAAAGACCTTTCAGGGAGCCACCTTATACTTAATATAATTCCATTTACCGGTTAACGATTTCATCACCCCTAAGGACACTGCTGACCCTCAGAATTACGAACAGTCCAAATAGCAACAACTATGACCAGATGTCCATGAGAAGTTTCAAGTTGAACCGGTTCAGTTATGTAGGAGGCTTTAAGTCTTTCACATTTGTAAAACCTTTAAGTTGAAATGTTAACTTCTTCAGACAAAACAATACTGAGAGGGGGACCTAACAACTGGTTCCTGTTTCATGACATAATAGAAACTGGTGGCCTAGTTAGGGTTACGGACTAGTATTAGCATATGCACAAGTACTAAATCATAGTCCAGTGAATTTCTCATCCTAGACTCCTTTGATTAAAAAAAAAAATACAAATCCAGTACAAACATCACAGGCTTTAAAAAGAACGGCACGAAACGGCTGGAAAAACTTAGTTTCTTTCGATTCTGCCGCATGCATTTTCAAGTAAAAATCCAAATCCCTACTAGGCAAAAAGCATAATGTAGTAACTAAGACTGGATTATATGGAGAATCTATCAGGTTCAGTATTACACAGGCATTTCATGTAATAAATTACATCCATGAGTTTATGAAAATCCCAAGACCCATTATACCTCTATACGCACAATACCACGCACAAAATTACTTCCTCAATGACTTGGTAGTTTCTTGGTCAGTGCTTTAAAGGCTTGTATTTTTATACCGCCTATAGGCTGGTCTATCCACAATAACTATCATAACTTCATATTAAAGGATGATACGACCATACTCAGACGTCAATAAATAATAAGTACTTCAAGTTGTTATTCATCGTAGACTGACATCAGTATTTCTCAAAACTCATCACGATCCTCCTCTGAAAGGTTGTATTCTTCACGCCGACTCCTCAGAAATTGCTTTTTCTTTTCACATCATCGGTTTTGAAGTTTCAGCAGCACAAACAGATATGGGCAACAGAAATATTAAGGTGTTAAAATAAACAAGATCAAAAAAATTACAACGAATAAATGGGGATTATCGGGTTGAAAGTGACCATGACACCCGAATGATTCTCTGGTAATGTCTCCAGTGAGGGTGCGGTTGCCAAACACTGCATTCTAATGTATTAAGGACCCTAGTCGAAAGGGATGAAGCAGAAAACCGTGAATATCTGTCTTACATTGGTTGAAATAAGTTGCCTTCCACATTAACCTCGAACTGATGGGTAGGCAAAAAATAAATGGCCGATAAATACAGGGGCCGAGATAACTTTAATTCCTTAGCTAAACTTACAACGAGTCAAGAGCCGCATCGCCATTAGGATTCCGAGTGACATCGTTGTCAAATGACATAGTTTCAGAAATCACTGACGTTACCTCTTCAGGAGACAGTGGACGATGGTACTCTAGCCAGTAGAGTTTGAGCACACGTCAGGTAGACGAAGGAAGAGGATCAATTGGATGAAAAAATTAGCACCACAATTCTTCATTAAACATCCACTAGAACCTTGACTTCAGACATCACAAACTAATCAGTGGGAACCCAACCTTCTCTTCCCGCTACTTACAAGTGAACAGTCTTTCTGAAGGTCAACTTTAATGTCCAGTTTCCAGAATCCAGATCTTTGAACAATAAGTGAATGGAAGTAAAGCTAGGGTAATCCTTTTCTAGAGGGGTTTCTTCGTTTTCTGAATTCGCTCAGGATAAATTACTGAGGAGGTGGATAATAATTCAGTTGGAATTTTGCCTCATTAGTTGACTAGTTGGCTGAAGTCGTTACAATTCACGGTTTCAATTGTTTGTTGACGGGGTAGAAGCTTTTAGTTAATTGTCTCCCGCTTTCAAGGTCAGTGAATCGCTAGTTCCTACATCTAGAAATATATGTGTTTAAAAGACTCCAACCAGCTTATGCCGGCTCTCCCAAGGAAGAAGAGCACCTCGAGACAAGCCACCTCCTCTCAGGGTATCAGCAGTGGCAGCGAAACAGTCAGCCAACACACTGCCGCTGTTGCGCCGATCAGACGCTGCAGGCTCCTGCCCCATAACGGTGGGATAGACCAGCCTTGGGTCACCAGAGGGGCGGAGAGAAAGTAGTCAATTAGTGATCTGCACAAAGCTGCAACCATGGTGGTTCATGGAATACCCGAACTGGCGAGTGGATCCACAAAGTGTGATAGTCACCTCCTTGATGCGGAACAGTGGAGGTGGTTAGCGGGAAAAATGAGACCTGGAAGTTTGCCTGCCAGCAGCGTAAGTAGGTTACCAAGACTTACGCACTTGCAGAGCATTTCCTCACCAAGATTGCTTGCTGTACGCTTTGACTGCAAAGCATCCCTAACAGAAACCCTCATGGCATGGTACCGTGTAAAAGACCATATAGGAAGGACTGGCCGTCAGAATGCGATGCAATGGCATACCGGCCTCCAAACAAGTCCCCATATCGCACCAAGCCCAGAACATAGCCCTCTGGCATGGCTGTACAGCGATGTAACCAAGCTGAAGCTAAAAGCAATGTGTCACGATCTGCAAGCAGATGTAATTCTCATCACGAAGGCACTACTGTCAGCAGACATCGTGGGTGAGTAAATACCTTTGCCTAAAGTAGCCCTACTTTGAAAGGACTGGTAGTTCAAAGAGGGCGGAGGAGTTGTCATGTACACTAGAACTCGTCTAAAAGTCGGGGAAGCGACTGATGGTGTGTTCGGCTTACTATCAGACCCTTATGGTGCGATTCCAACATAAACCAGACCAAGTGCCCATTACAAGTGATATATAGACCTCTCCTTTGCACGGTAGAGCATGTGGCGTCACACACTTCCCCAAAATCAATAGCCTAGGGTTTGACGACTTTCGACATTCACGCTGACCTTGATAGTTTAACTGGACTCGCTAAGCTGAAGGCACCCGGTCAAGCATCCTCGCCATTTGGCACGCTGTCGTGTTACGTTGCACTGCTCGTATTCGACTCTCTAGCCAGTCGGTATTTTGGCATAACCATCCAAATATACTATTCCATCCGACTACGCTACTGTGTTCTTCCTTGGTCTCGTGTTCGTGGGTATATAACAAGTTCGAATAATTAGTGATTGGTCTTTGCGTCTGTCAAGTTCGCACCAGGACAAATACTAAAATCACAAGGCACAATTGATCAGTGTCCTTTGAATAACTACCTTTGCAGCCTGCGACGATGTGGTCCTGGCCTTAGACTTTAACACCCCGGCACTCAACAAGGGATGTGAAGCAAGATATAGGCATAAACCTCTCGAACGCAAACTTCGAAATACGTTTATGGCAGCAGGACTGATAGACAGAATTGGGAAAAGCGCTAGATGAGGACCAGATAGAAAAGGTTCACCACTCGACTAAATTCTGACAGACGATGGTCTTTTTGCGGACAAAATCTGTTTTTACACCCCCCAGGTGAAAGTGACTACGCATTGTTGGGTCTATCCGATAACCAAGGAGATACCAGCGGTAGTTGAGACAGAAGCGTTCCGCTGTTACCGAAGGTAGACTACCGTCTCATGAACAACGAATTCCTGGAGGCTGAATGGACGCAGTAGTGACGCTCACTATCGACAGAAGAAAACTGGATGCATATTACAGATATAATCTGGAGTGCTATCGGCAGGTATTCCAAAATTAACCAGACGGCCACCTCTCAAACGGCCTCGAGTAACTCGCACAACCCAAAGGTAAATACAGAGGAAAAAGAAGTCTTGGTATCGGTGGTGTACATCACACAAAGAATCAGACTCGGTTTCGAGACGGTACGCGACTTATGTAATATAAGAATTCTTAATGACATGTATATATGTCCATGGCAACCTGGCTAAACAGTCAAGTTACAATCTGAAAAACCTTTATCGGACTATGTCACAACGCAAACCGAAGAGTTAGGGTTCAAACCTGGTCACAGGGTCGACCGGAGAACCTTCGAATGGCAGTGAGATGACAGGATTGTTGAGCGGTCGACTTGACGAGCAACTCAACCCAGTAATACATCCACCATCAACATCTAGTGATGTAACGAAGTCCCAGGACCGCGATACAAAGCTGATGAACGTGAAGATTTCGTGAAACCAGGTGTTTGCAAAACTTTTGACACTGAGAATACGAAAATCCCCGGGCTGGGGGGAAACGGGAAAGGTGGTCCCACGCAACTATGCTGCAGTGCTAGGCATACCCATATACAACCTGTTCATGCACGCGTTGGAGGTGAGTCAGCTCCCTAAAGAAGGGAAAAGCGCCATCCCTCCACCATTCTTCAGGAGAGGAGACCAATATCTGTTTAACAAGCTTCTGTAAACCAGTTGATTTCTTCTTGCCCGTTCATTCGTCTTGTGTTGAATAGAAAACACATAATCCAGCTTCTAGGCAGACAAAAACTATTATATCTTACATAAGTAGGCACCTGAAGTACGAAAACACTGGGTAGGTCACCTATCAAGTCACTAACCGAGGCTTTCAGTCTTGTGAGGTTTGTTTTAACGTCAAGTCACCTTCCGATGGACCGTGGTAATTTTGCGTCTGCTTTTTGTCAATTAACAACCACATCCATAGAGTCCGTCTTCGCACCACACACGGTAAGATAGGTCATAAAGTTTCCTCCAAAGTGATTCTGGTCTGCGTAGAAAGAGGCGTATTGCTCTTCTGGTCGTTTGATAACTACCCTGACATGTGGTTTTATTCTCCTTTCGATATCAGAACTTAGGCATAGGTAAGGTGAGGGTTAGGCTGCCACGAGTGTGCATCTATTTTCTTAAGGCCGGTTGCGCGCTGCCTGAAAGTCAAATAATCAATTCACCACAAATCTTTCGCCCTTGGCAACCAGGAGATTTCCTCATGTCATCGGAAGTTTTTGAAAATTTTATCGACGATCAACCGACAATGTGATCTTATTTCCAGGCGTTGATTCACTCAGTGACCTCAGTTTTCGTTGTTCATTTAATTTCGTTTGCTAACTTCTCAGTTTTGACTCTGACACAGCTGCGGCGATCTTCCAACTCTCTTCTTGACTTCATATTATTTTCTTCTAAAGCGAATGTAATGCGAAAGTCACTGATGCTTTTCAAAAGTGAAGTGGTCAAGAATCTCTTTCTAGCAAGCATTATTGGCGGTAACATATTTCGAACAATGAAATACACGAACAAATGCCACAATAAAGGGTGTTATCTGGAGGTTATTCTTCTCTTTTGAGCTGAGGAAGTCTAGAACGAATGGGTCGATGAGCCACATAGCCTCCCGGTATAAGCAACTTTTGGATATTGCTGGTCACAGATATTGAACAAGTGCAGCTTCGTTGCACAACAGCAGTGAAAAGTAACACGAGTATAGTCACTCATCATGAGAAGTATCCTGGCAATAGTGAGCCAAATAATCAGAAAAAGTACATAACAGATAGAGTGTTGAGCATAAATGAAGCCGAAAGTACGACAGCATTCAGTAAATTTGTGCTGTCTACAGACAGCATGCGAAACCAGAGTTAAATGTTGGGACGGGCGGGGGTAGATTTGCAACCAGTAATGCATGGCGTCACGCACAGTGCAACGATTGTTTAGATCCAGTATGCCGTAAATAGAGTTATCTGGATAAATTGAGCCACAAATATAGTTCTATCCAAGTACTGTTGTCACGAAGTGGGGTAAATTATATAGGGTTTCATCAATCAACCATTCGATAGCAATTCAAGGTCGGGGTATCACATAAGGCCACATGTGATCACCGCTGTTTCTGCTTAAACAGCGTTCAGGACTGGAGGAAACTCCATGTTTGTGTGCGGGAAGCATATACATAGCCAACATTCCCAGATGAGGTCCTGACCGGTGCCGCGAACTTTGGGAAGATTGTAGTCTGGGATGAACTGCCTCCCGGACTTTTTCCCTCGCATCTCCAAGTGGTATGAAACGATAGTTCGCACGTGTTGAATAGAAGTTCGAAGTATATTTCGACGATGAGTGTGCGCTGGTATGATCCGCGGTCACAATCCACACACCAGGTGCGAAGGAGGGACATAGGGGCGTGAGAGGTGGAGTCGGTTATCTTGAAATTTGGCGAAACAACATTGAAGACCAGAGCATGTTAGGATGGCACGAGGGGTAACAGGTTACGTAGTTTAATATTGCATTTGTGGAGTACCTTTGGAGTTTTGTGTGCTAAATTTTTTATATCCGAGTTGAAGCTGTATTACAAGCGCCCAAAAATGGTGACTCCATTCTGCAGTTGGGAGCCAGCAAGAGCTTTGGTGTGCGCACGTAGAGTTGGGTTAAGAGAAGGGGGAAGATAATCGCCGTGGTCGCAAGGTAGGGGAGGGTGTGAAGCGTGTATAAGGCCTAACGACCTCAGGTGGGGGTGGTTGCCGTAAGTCCCCGCTCAAGACTATTTAACAGGGTTAAAAACCAACCATATTTATTAGAGCCGCTTCCACCACCTCGGGAACACCAGGCCTCTACATAGCCATTTCTGAGCGCTTCTTTTGCAAGACACCCGTGCAGGAACAGACCTTAGGTTCTACCTGAACCAGAAAGCGAGCTTACCAGCTGCTGAAGCTGTCATGCGGAAGTATTGCTACGTACGGATACAGGAAGCTTATTCTAGATTAAGCTGTAGTAAGTGGGGAAGAATTTGCATTTGGCATGTTTGCTGCAGCTCTTCACCCCAAGCACGGGTGTATGATCTCTGATGTCATGCTGCGGTGCAGATTTCCAGACGTGCGGGGAGGGATGGTATGACAGAAAATGTTAAAACAAGACATTCAGCGAAAAGGACCTTTTTCAACGAAGTTATTCTCACGCCGT